AATGATCACCCGGGCTATGCATACATCAGGTAACACACACCCCGGTGATATCACCGCATACATTCACGGGACCCCTCCTTCTATCACCGAGGTGATACAGCATCTGCCCCGTGGCATCACACACAACACAATACACCCTCTGTGTACGGGGGAAACACCCCGCATGGAGACCTCCGAAAACATGAAAATGGAGGGAGAGTAGAATGCCGCTGCAAGTGCCTCTGCTTCTTCGACAACTGCTTCGACCGAAGGGCAGGCGCGACAGATCACCTCGCTCTTTCGACCGGACCCAACTTCTTGGACACAAGCGGCTGCTGCTACGTCTCACTCTCCTGTTGCTGTTGAATGATTCACCAGCAGCAGCAGGAGGAGACGCAGAGCGGCCGCTCGTGTAGAAGAAGTTTGCTCGGGTTGAAAGAACGAGGTGATCGTACCGGCAATGCTGCGGTCCAAGCATTTTCGAAGAAGCGGAGACACTTGCAGCGGCGTTCTGCTCTCCCTGCATTTTCATGTCCTCGGAGGTCTCCATACGGGCTGTTTACCCCGCACACAGCACAGCGTGTATGTGTCTTGTGTGTGATACCCACGGCACAGATGCTGTATCCCCCGTGAATGTATGCGTTGATATCACCGGGGTGTGCTATCTGATGTAGCCCGGTTGATAGTTGGCTGGTTCGTCTAAGACGCCCAAACACATCACCGGGGGGTGTTTTCTTCTGTAGTTTACAAGTCTTAGAAATGTTTTTTACGCTGCTAAAACAACAGCCTACACAACAAGGAATACATAGACTTTACTATACCCCTACACAATATGCCATGAACAAACTGGACAAAGCGCCCGAAAACATGGGTGGGGTAGGGGAAGCGGGGGGCGGGCGTTGGGGGGGGGGGTAACCGTGCTTCCAGAATTTGAATCCGCGAGCCCTCTTGCGTCCTGACGAAGGGGGTGTCGCAGATTGGACTCACTNGGGGGGGGGGGGGGGGGGGGGGGGGGGGGGGGGGGGGGGGGGGGGGGGGGGGGGGGGGGGGGGGGTAACCGTGCTTCCAGAATTTGAATCCGCGAGCCCTCTTGCGTCCTGACGAAGGGGGTGTCGCAGATTGGACTCACTTGGGGGCATGCTTGGGGAACTTGAGAGGGGGGAGGGAAACCTTCACCGGCGCCGCCTCTCCGGCGCCTTCCCCTCCCTCGCCCTCTCCTTTACCCTTCCCTCCCAGAATGCTGTCCTCCTGCTTGAGCGCCGGCAGCTCAGCCTAGGATACGGGGTGCAACGAAAGAGCGCATCAGAAGAACACGCACGGAGGAACGGCTGAATCGTTCTCGCGACAACGATCAAGGCAAGCACCGCAGAAGGAAGGTGTAGAATAAAACTAACCCTTTGGGTGGCCTTCCTCCTGTGTCACCCCGGCTGGTGCGCCCAGAAATGTAACGAAAGTTTTAGGGACCAATGTCCAGAATCATAATTTATTTATTTTGTTGTGTATGTTTACTCTCTTCAAATCAGCGCTCACAGCACTTGTGCTGTATACTCCGACCCGTGGTCACACAGGAGGGTTCCTGCCCCTGAGCCCCCCTTACCCACCCCCCTTGCGGTACTGCTGTGCCTTCGATTGTAAATGCGAGATGTAATGCAGAATCAGTGCTACGGTCGTGGTCCCGGCGGTAGCGGTTCCTCTAGTCCCTTCCCTGTCATGCGAGATGCCCTGAATGGCGGTTCCAACATCTCGCGGCACGGCTGCACCTCGGCAGTCAAACTACAAGATAACTGCCCATCCGGTTTAGCGGCGATGCCCTCAATAGCAGTTGCAACATTGTGTGACCTATGGACTATGGACTACAGTATGGGCTATGGACTATGGCCTATGGACAATGGACTACAATATGGACTACAATATGGACTATGGACCGCTAAACCGGGACCACGACTGACGAAAAAAAAAAAAAAGCAGAGGAGGAGGGTGTGCGGCCAGAGATGGGCATTGCCGTAAGGGCTATTGATACTACGTTGCTGCCCGTTATGATGGCGTGGGACAAGCTATAGCGACCCCTCCGTTGTACTGCACGCGTCGCCAAAAGGGGTGAGCAAGCCTGCAATCCCAGTGCAAGCCGACCCTTTTTATTTCAACTTCGACCGACCAACTTCGACAGACCAACTTCGACAGACCAACTTCGACAGGTGTTAGAGCGACCACTGGTTCACTGGTTGGATTGCAAACACTAGCGACAACTGTTTGAAGATCGATAACGACAACAAGCGACTGACAACAGTAACGCAACCGACTCGGGAACGACAACGACAACATCAAGAGGTCTGGAAAAGACCACGCATGTTTGCAACTCGAGAACGCCGACAATCTACTGGTACACCACAAGAGTACGTATAATTACCTCGGGGTGGGCCTCACAGATCAGGGCGAGCTCGTGATACCGTGCATCCGGCGGGATGCAGTTGAGGTGGTAAGCGGTAGGGCACTTGATGCACCTGTTCGATAGACAGAACGACAGAAAAGAAAAGAAAGGCCACGCACCGCTCCCGCTGTAAGACTCACGGCCTTTCATTGGTCAGCCGGCTTGGCGGTCGAATCTCCTTTGAAAAAAAAAGAAAAATACAACACACGACCTCACGGGGTTCCACTTCATGGCATTCAGAAGTGTTCCGTGTTTTCAACTGCACTTGGACTGACGTCTTTTCATCGGTCAGCTAGGGCGGCAGATGCAAATTCGAAAAAAAACACACACACACAAACACACACACAGACCACGGAAGTAACGAAATGGGGACACGTCTTTCGACTGTAGCAAATTGGGGCAAGGTACGGGCGTGAAACGTGTGCTGAGAAAGAGAGAGCCGACACGCAACGGCAGCATTCACGAACCATCACCCGGCGGAAGGCGGCTTTCTGTTTTCCAAACGAAATGGAGAAACATCCCGAAACATTTCGTGAGCCCAAACAAATTAAAAAAGAACGCTCACAACCCCGTACCCTCATGTCCAACGCACAGTGATGAGCCATCGCTGACTCCAGCAAAAAAAATAAGCTCACTTGTAGAGGTGGTTCTTGGTTCCCCCACGACCGGAGCAGCAGGTGTCGCACGTGTGGTAGGCGCAGCGGAACTTGAAGATCGGCTGACCATCTTCGCCCTAGTCAAAAACGGCAATCGGCAGCAAGGACAACAGTGGCGGAAATAGCAACAGCAGGTAAGGTACCCACAGCGGCGACCGTCATGTTCAACAGCCAACAGCGGCAGCAGTAAGCGGCAACAGCACAACTAGGTTCCGGAACGTGGCACACACACACCGTAACCGCGAAAACGGTCATGCTAAAGAGCAGCAGGTGACGAGAACGATCGACAGCATTCCACGCAAGGTCTCAAGCAACAACAAGTGTGTGTTGGGTTCTGTGGGCGACATCCGTTTACCAGGCCTCATCCCTTGTCGAAAGTGACTTTTCCGCATCCATCACGTTGCTGGTTTGTACGCATACTTGAGCAATAACAAGGGGGATACGCGGTCTAGATGAAGGCGAGGTATCCACACGCCGGGGAGTACGTGGAATAGACGAAAGACGCAGGAGGGCACACGCCGGGGAAGATCAACAGTAAAACGTGCTCGGCTTGGGTTATTGAAAAAAAACTGTCTGTCTCGCAAGACCTCCCTCTCTTTCTCTCGCCTACCCAACGGCAATCGGCAACAGCGACATCAACAACAACCAAAACAACCAAAACAGCAGCAACAACAACAACAACAACAACAACAACAACAACAACAACAACAACAACAACACTACCACCAGCAACCGCATCATCACCACACCTCATCAACATCCGCCTTCACCACCGAGTTCTTGTTAAGCTCCACACAGTGCCGGTGGTAGAATCTCCCGCAGCTGGGAACCCCGCATCGAAAAACGCCTCCTACCACGTGGTCCTGTCCGTAGTCGCCGCATTGCCAGCACCTGTAGTAAGTAGCAGCAGTTGCATCGTCCATGACGATCATTTTGCGTGGAAAAATAATGGTATCGAACTCTCTGGGCAAAAAATTACTTTTTGTCGTTGATTTCGTACTCTTCCAGAGACAGACGAACAAAAATCAGAATGGTCGGTTTGAATATCCATATCCTACATGGCCGCAGTGAGGTCCCTTGTGCTCTCTGTAGCGACTGCCCGCCGTTCAAAAGGTAGGTACAGTATATACCAACGGGTATTGGTTACACACCCGAGCCAAGGTAGAGATCGAACACGCCAACGGCCAAAACGGCGGACGTCCGAGGCTGACAAAAAACGGACGTCATTCACGTTCCAGCCAGCAGCGCAACCCTGTAGAGCTCACGGCCTTGCAGGTGTGAAAACTACTTTCTTGTACGGTATCCGTCGGGCATGCCTGCAGACACCTCCCCTATACACCTCCTTTTTTCACGACTCCAACGGTAATAGTCCAACAGTACACCTCGGGTCGGGACAACACCAGTACTGTACCGGCACAAGCCAACATTAGCTTCGTTTTCCACTGATTGCCGTACACACCATGGATCGATTTTCAAAGGTCGATGACTTCACGACGAAGCCCAAGACACGAAGGGTCAAGAGGCACTTTGGTCGAAAAGCTCTCGACGAGATGATTGTCCACCATATTCGGCACCATCGCAGCGTGATCCATCCGGGGATGTCTATGCCTTGTTCTTCGATCAAGCAAAAGCACGCAACGGGAAAACCTTGAGCCCAAGCCAGCAAAACACAACACTCATAACCCTTACGCCACTTGAGTTCACTTTCCGATTCATCCTAGGCCCTCATCAACGGGTAGGGACGGGTATATTGTGTTCCAGCCGACAAGGCACATACCATACTTCATTACCCTCACGCTAGAATTCATAACTAATTTATCCTAGACCCTTATCTACGGACAGGATTGCGCGCTATGGATCCATTACCAATTTATCCTAGGCCCTGTTATATGGCTAGAGGTGGATCTATCGTGACATGCTTAGAAAGAAAAAAAAACTCACTCATGCTCCCCCCGCTCGCAGTCCTCGCACAGCCACTTCTCCTCCTTCAGAGCATCCTCGCCGAGGTCGAGGCACACCACGTGGAAGCTGCGGAGGCAGGGGCCGTCGCAGGTGACCATGTCCGACATGCACGGCGTGTCGAGCTGCGAGCACACGGCGCATATCCAGTCGTCCGCACTGTTCACGGCGCCCCCTCCCTCTGCCACCAAGGCTTTCCTGGAGAGGCGACAGCATCGGTTGCACGTTCCAAGACATGATTCTTTGTGCCATTACTCTGATGCTCGTTATCATCGCTCTGCTGCGGGTTCAGTAGCCTTCGTAGGGCACTACTCTTTAGTAATGTGTAAACATGAATTTCACATGAACATGAACATGTTGAATCAAGCAAACAATCGGGGAAGTCGGGGTAGGGTTAGGGTTAGGGTTAGAATTAGGGTTTGGGATAGGGTCTGCGTACCCCGTCCCTGTTGTATTTCCTCATAAACTTGTTAATCGCGCGAAGGCGGTCCTGCGAGTTGGCTACGGATAGAGGGAAGGCGGAAAGGCGGCAATGTCGATCAAGACATACTTGAGAGGTTTTCGATGTGACCACTCTGCTGCAACTTGATTGCTTGAGGCACGCGCTCGATGTGACACGTTTCTTATTTGGTGTTTCCTGCGTCCATGTTTCCAGTCCAAGAATTACAAGTTCCTTTCTTTGTTGCCTCGGCGAACACATGAGAACTCGAGGCAGGCGCTCGAGGCACCACTAAAAAAAGCAACACCTGTGATCAACGACACATGGAGACGTCGTCACACCGCTTTACTCCCAACGAAACCTCGACGACACCCGTCCCCCCCCACACACACCACCGAACACGGGCCGTCACTCATGTCCAAGCGTGAACACACGATTCACAAAAATACAACGCACGAGCACCCACACACCCACTCACCCACTTTTCCGTCCGACTACTGAGATCGGCGTCTTGCCATTGCCCGGCCGGTTCGTGTGGTAGGTGCAAATGACACTAGCACAAAAACAGACGCACATAAACAGCTCGATGACTAATGACAGCGTGCTTGTCCGCGTTGTTTATCCCTCAATGGCCAACCGGTCGGTCGATGCTAAGAAAAAGTACACACAGATAGACACACACTCTCCGCCCTGCTTAGCACAAATATGGCCCACAGACTACACCATGATGCGAGTGCCCCCTCCCCCCCTTAGCTCCTCTCACCGGTTCGTGCGCTTCTTGCCATTGCCACTTTCACCATCCGCGGTGCCCCCCTCCCCCTCCCCCTCCCCCTCATTGCATTCCGCGTCGTCCCCGCCGCCGACGCCGCCGTCCCCGTTGGGGTCCTTGGCCTTTCCCTTTCCCTTCGGTGTGGCGAGGTTAACGCGAGGAACCACCACGCGACCGTACCTGTTTCGCAGCAGAAAGAGGCGCGAGCGGTGGCGGCCGTGTTGTCGCCGATAGAACGGGCCAGCGAGAGGGGTGGGAGGGAGAGAGGGGGAGAGAGAGAGAGAGAGAGAGAGAGAGAGAGAGAGAGAGAGAGAGAGAGAGAGAGACAGACAGACAGGGAGAGAGTGAGAGGCAGAGACAGAGAGAGTCCGTGTTGGCCTGCCTACATAATGAAACGCGACGCTCTTGACTATTTTGAGTGCGACAGTGATACACTCATGTGGTCGTGCGTCCGCGATGCAAAAAAAATTGTGTTCTAATGCTGCAGAACCCATCCAATGCTGGAAAGGGTCGCGTTTCGACGCTGCATGTCGAGGATGTGTTACGGAGAATACATGCAAGGAGGCGTTTGTGTATGGGCAACACAGGACAACCAAGCAATAAAATGTGTCGATAGCCCATACCATACCATACGCGGTTGACTTTTGCGGATAGTGCTAGCACACGATTCGCGAGAACAAGAGCAATGGGTAGGGCATAAATAGGTGTATGGTCGCCCCGGCGGCAAACAGTAGTGGTATCCTCGAAAACCTCTGGTCGAAAAGGTCGTGAGTTTGAGTCCCCGTGGGGCGAAAACAGTACAAAATGTGCGGGTGAACGCGAAAATTTTTGTAGCTGAAAAAGCGCTCGTGAGTACCAAACTTTGACGCTAGCACCGTTGATGGAGGGCAAGGGACGGCTGGGCTCTTCTCGCGATAGAACGTTAAACTGAGCACGCACCGCAGGAGGAAGGTGGGGCACGAAAAAAAACAAAAACAAGAAAAAAGCCCTGGTGGTTACACCGAAAGAGTGTAGTACTCTACAAACACTGAAAAGTGTAGTACACGTCTCACCACGAAAATGGAGGGACTGCCGCCAGAATAAATAAAACGGAAACACACAAAACACAGGTACACCACTCTTGCCGTTCTACATGGAGCGGGGCAACGGAGGAAAAAACATGGAGCAAAGTGCGGCCGTCGTATGGGCACCCTCCGACAACAGTGCACTGTACAAGACAGGCACGGGTACAGAGGGAGTAAAACATCAACAACGACCGAGAGTATGAGAGGGAGAGAGAAAGAGTCGCAGACACAACAGGAGGCACTTCGGTCGACGCGGGGGGGAAGGGGGGCGCACTTTGATGCTTTGCTTTGCATTCCTTAGCGGTAAGACCCTTGACCACGCGACCTCGGGGCGCAACAGAAAAAAGAGATACAAAGAGACAGTGACACTGTCTGGGGAACCCCCACCTGTTGGTTGTGGCTCCCTCAACCGGCACAGGGTTCTTCTCTTCCGCCTCCCCCTCGACCTCCGCCTTCTTCCTGTCGAAAACCTTTGGGTCGTAAGGGTCGTCTTCTCCCACGATGCCTCTCGCCACGATATTCCCGAACTCGTCCTCGCGGATCCACTCCTTCACCTCCTGCGGGTAAAGGGTCGTAGAATACCGTGCAGTGACGCAACACAGCAACACAACAGTGTGGGGGTCTGTTTAGTGCCGGTTGAGTAGTGCCGGTGCCCGGTATAGTGCCGGTTCATTCGGCTGGCATAGTATCTACCAGGTACTTTCTAACAGTGCTGGCGTTCGGTATACTACGGGGGTCAATTCTCTGGACACATACCGGCACTAAACAGGCCCCCACACGGTACCGGATGGATGCTGGCGGGTTCTATATAACGGGCTCGTCCGAGGGCAAGCGTTAGACGACTGTGGAGAGTGAGAAATACTCAGGGTGAGAGCGAACAGCGGGTGGTATTCAGGTGGTACACGGGAGTGGGGCTGCTGTGCGTAGGCTCGACGGTACGGGGCTGAGAGAGCGCGGGTAGCAGCGGAGGAGAAGATTATTAAAATCGGAGGAAGGATCGGTTTATCAGAGTGCACGCTAGCAAGGAGATAAACAACAGCAACAACGACAATAGCAGCTGCAGCATCAAACACCGCAGCAGGGACAAGGGGAGTGGTAATTTTCCACCGCTTGCCTTTGCGCGCTTTCTCTTCCTATCGGGCTTCTTCTTCAGCCTCTTCGAGTGCGTGTGCACGGGCTGCAGGTTGGGCGAGTCTCGCGACAGCGTCTCGTCATACCTGTAAGACAAATCAACGACGACGACAGCAACAAATGCAAGGACAACATCAACACCAGGAACGGCAGCAACGACCACAACTCGTCGTACTTATAGACACATGGAAAACAACAAATGCAGGGACAACAACGACATGATCATCATCATCACACCAACGTAACATCACAACAGCATCCTCAATGACGACAACAGCCACAGAAAACGTCACTGAACGCGTGAAACACGGAGCGAGTATTTGTAGGCTCGAAAAACAAATCCAAGCCTCACAGGTGGATGTTGTCTGCGGGATTTCATGGGGCAACGGCTCAGGGCCTGTTTCAACGTTATAAAGTTTGCACCTAAATTGAGGCCCTGCAAAAAATAAGTTTCGAGGGCGTGCCGGGGGCCAAAGACGCTGATTAGTCAACAGGAAAAAACACGACGAGGCTTTCTCTGCCAGGAAAAGCGGGACATCGATATTGGGTGCAGCAAAAAACAATTGCAAATTGACTTGTTTTTCGCTGAATCGAAGTACCCGAGTTGCACTGCGCCCCTTGTGCACCCCCTGTGATGAGCTGAACTCGTGCTGGGGATACCCTTGACGGGACTGCATGTGGCACACTGGCCGTGCGGCACCCACACGCATCGCCCACTGCCCGCTGCTGGGAAAATAGCTGTTGAAAAAAATATCTGTGAGCGTGCCAACTTTTCGCGCTGGTTGGGTTGCTGTGGAAGTTTCTTTTCCAACATGTGCGATATTGTCAAAAAAAGTCAACGGCCGGCTGCGTGCAGCGAGACAGTCCAAACAACAGTTGTAGAGCAAGCCTGAGGATGATGCTTGGACCGCTGGCACCGCCTACTGATGTGTGCTGATTTATTTTCACAGCTCCTGTGTGGTGCACATGGTCTATCGCTCTACCTGGTTGGGTCACCACGTCACCTCGCGGCAGCGATTCCGTCCGCCGCATTTGGGTGTTGCCGAACTTCCATGTTGCACAATTGCGATAAAACGACGCAAGCCCTTTTTGGCCAAAAACCCAATTAGGTCCATCCATTTTAGGTCCTCGATTTAGGTGACAAAAATAAACGTTAGTACAGGGCCTCGAACAAAGACAGCGGGGGGGCACCGTACTGGCACAGGCGATACCCGCACAAAATAAGCCTCCATCGACCACCAACCACCTGGTACATCGACCACAACGAATAAAGTGATTGATCGGGTACCCCCCTGATACGGGTGTTGGTGTATGAATGTCGCTAGGAGCGGTAGGAGAGATTGGCATCTGCCCGCATTTGCGGCGACGGGGCCCCGAGGGGGGGGGGGGGGGGGGGGGGGGGGGGGGGGGGGGGGGGGGGGGGGGGGGGGGGGGGGGGGGGGGGGGGGGGGGGGGGGGGGGGGGGGGGGGGGGGCGAGACACACTGGTGAAACTACAACTGCATGCATCGAACAACGCCTACAAGAACCGATCGAATCACACCACGAAGTTTATTGCTGTAGCTGATGGACACGGTTCGTGGGGGTTGTTGTATCCGAAAAAAGCCTTGATGGCAGGCGCACACGGATGGACGCCGGTTGAACACATGGATCGAACAGCAGGATACCCCAGCTGGGCCGAGTGGCCGATGATGCGATGATGAATGGTTGCTGGCTGCGCGTCTCTTTCCCCCTCTCTGTGCACTGTCTTGTGTCCACCCGCTTGGTTGCCTGTCCGCCTGCCTATCTGCCAGTTGTCTGCCTGTTGTCTGTCTGTCTGTCGTCTGTCTGTTCTCTGCCTGCCTGTAGATCTGTTTGTCTCTGTCTTGTCGTTCTGTAGCCCTCCCTCTTCCACCTGTTCTCCAAATCCTAGCGCCCACCTCCGCTCCTCTCACTGTGGCACCTAAACCTAGCTCCTGCGGCATCGTTCTCTCTCTCCACCTTGTACGTTTCCCTCTTCCTTACTCACTTGTTGGGCCAACCCTGGTAGTGAATCCGGAAGAGCGTCGTCTCCTTGTCGCCACCCGCCGCCGATACCACCCCCCCCTCCCCCCCCCCCNCCCCCCGCCCCCCCCCCCCTCCCCCCCCTCCCCGTCCACCTCCATCGCCTGCAACTCCGGCTTCCCTTCCCCTCCCTCCTCCTCTTCGTCTACCGTGTGGAGCACCTTTCCGAGGTACCATTCGCCCTCCATGGAGTTGAACACGTCCAACAGATCTCCTTCGGAGATCGCTTCGCGCCACGCGGATAGCGCACTCCAGGCACTCGATAGCAGATCGGCGGAGATCTTGTGGGGGGAGGTAGAGAGATTGGGGCGGGGGTGGGGAACGATTGGCATCACATTCTCTTGCTGTCAGCCGTCAAGAATGTACGGGGCGGGTGGGACGAGGGGGGATGGCATCGCATTCTCTGTTGTCGGCCGATCAAACTCGTTCGGGAAGGAGGGGAGGGTCCGAGTGCTCCCTGCGTGAATGCTCGGCTGAACTGAAAACGTTGCCGCCTGCCTGCCACATCACGAGATATGTGATTTCCTCTCACTGGCTCTACTTCTGCTTCTGTGCACAAACGCTAGCGGCAGAAGCTCCATTTCGCATCAACCTGAAGGCACACACACAACAAGGTCGAGGACGGGGCGGCATGGTTCATGAGGAAATGGCACAGGCAGGAGGCGGAAGCGTCCGCGACGCGCCAGCGCGCGAGGGAAGCAGAAGCAGAGAGTACGACCATCTCAGGACCGAAGAGAAAGAGAACCGGCGAAGCGGCGGTGGGGGGGAAGAAACGGCGACCGGGCACTGCTGTAGAAGCGAGTAGGGCGGCCGAGGCAGCGCTTGTGGCGAACTATGTACCCGGCTGATGTTGTTGCGCCCTGTTTCCCTCCCTGCCGTATGCTGTACTCCTTTATGTATGTCCTTTTTATTGCCTTCGGCCTCTGTGCTGTGTTTCTTTTTTTCATGACCTCCCTGCCTACTCTGCTGTGTTGGGTACCTTGATCTCGCTTTGCTGTTGCCTTTGTTTTTGTACGTCTGGCTGTCTGCCCATCTGCCGCCTCTTTGCCCTGTTCGCTCCGTTACTCCCATGCCCTGGTGCGCAGTGCCTGGTGCTGGTACGGTACCCTTTGATTTTTTCTTGCAGCGGGTGTGGGAAGCGTCCTCCTTTATTTTTCTGTTATTTTTGTTTTGTTTTCTTTTGATCGGTGTCCGAGGGCTCTTTTCTCGAACGGTCGGTGCGATACCTGTTCTTTTCTTTCTATCATTTTGTTTTCTTTTTCCGAGTGGTTTGTACCCTATTTTTTTTTTTTTTTCTCGCGGCGTCGTGTGTGCCGGGTTTTGAGACCACGGGCTCCCCATTTTTTGTGGACTATAGAGCTAATGTGAGAAACAACAACAACAACACGCACGCGGATACACCATCATAGGTGACCCTGAGCGTTTCCTGGTATGCCTATGACCCTCAACTACATGGTGTGTGTTCCCCTCGTACCTACGGATAGCTGTGTCTGTTTCACTCTAAGCCAGGTGTGTGTTTGCAAGGCTCCTTCCTGATCACAGCGAAGACTCGTGGGGCGTGGTTGTTCTACCGCACCGCGGTGCAAGATACACATCTACGTGTACTTTCATAGTGCAGGCTTCGGAAGGATCTCAAGATCTCAGGTCACTTGGAAGCACCATGAGCTGTCTGAATTCAAACACATCGAGCGTATGCGTATCTTGCATGTTGTGGGTTCTCAGATAACACTGCTGCTGTGCTGCGGTGTGTACATTTTTTCGACCTACCAAGTGGAATGGCGTACGAATGCAGTGTTACCCTTGACTCGGCGGTCAGACTAAACAAACCCTTGTTGCAACTCTCACGTCGCACACACGCGCACAAGCGTAGCGCACATGGGTGATGACAAGCGCCATTTTTGAACCGATCCATGTTACGCGCGAAAGCGAAAAGCGACTCTCTCGTCCGAAAGTCTGGCATCTTAGCTGCTGCTGCGATACAATATGTAGGCTCGCAACTTTCAGCAGTGGCGTGCACAGAAGACTCCCCTGTCACCTTCGCTGCCGCAGACACGGCTTGGAGGTCGTCCTCCCTGCTTTCCCTCTCGGCGGTGCTGCTGCTGCTGCTGCTGCTGCTTCCGCCGCCGCTCCCGCTCGCACTGTTGCTGTCCCCGTCCGTCTCGCTGCTGCTCGGCTCCTGGTCAGCCGGAGAGGTGGTGTCCGATCCAGAGTCGCATACAGCTTGCGTATCTTTTCTCCTGCTGCGCCTCGGCTCGAGGCAGAACCTGTCCCCCAGGGTCTTGCACAGCAGGCCGAGGTCCTTGGCCGGGCCCGCGAGCGCTGCGCGAAGCGCCTGCTCAAGCTCCTGGTCGGTGTCCACTGGTGTCGTTGGGTCCGCCGCCGCCGCTGCCGCGGGTGATGGCGCCGCTCCTTCTTGTTCCGTCGGGAGAGCTGGCTGCTGAGCCTGCGTGTCGTCTTCGCCAGGTGGAGGGGTTGCTTCTTGCACTGGTTCTGCCATCGTGATTTGCAGCTGCCCCTCCTCTGCTCTCTCCTCCGCTCAATCTGTCGTGGCTCCTCTCCTACATAAGTGTTTGGTTTCGTCATGCCCTCGGCATCAATTCAAAAGGGGCACCGCATATTGTAGTCGCTCGTGGGTCGGTTGATAGCTAGGGTCTGATAACCAACGTAAGCAACGCAATATACCGCACCCCCCTGGACATTTGTTTTTGCTCGATGGAGTGCAAAGACTATGACATATAATAACCAAGACTTTGGTTTTTATATGTCATAGTCTTTGATCGAGTGCTCCACGACGAAGAGAATGTATACCTTCAGCAGTAGAATGAGACGTATTCGAAGCACTCCTAACAACATGGTTCCCACATCGGTTCTGGCACCGCCATCCTGTGTGTGATGTTGTTGTTGTCTTCACATTATTAAACCGTATGTCAGTTGCTAGACTAAATGCCAAATCTAGAAAAAGACTCAGCCCGTGGTCACGTGTGTGATGTTGTTGTTGTTGTTGTTGTTGTCTTCACATTAAAAACCATCCCGGTCTCTCTATCCGGTACCTCCTTCTGTCTCAATCTCTCCGTACTAATCCATCACTTGACTCGGCCAATTTCCGTGGTCACAGGCTAACGTACCTAGAAAAGGTATACCAAAATAAAATGGACCCCAAGGGTCAGCAGAGCGATAAAATACAAGAAAACAAAATATAATCAGAAACAAATAAAATAAAATAAAATAAATAATTAGACTAGTGGAACGGCCGCACCACCAGCCTGGGGGGGTAGCCTCCCACTACATGGAGGCAGGTCGACGGCCAAAGGAAGGGGCGGGGGTACGTGCCAGTAAAAAACAAAACAAAAGACAAAATAAAACAGAATAAAGCAAAGACGAGGACACAAACAAACTCGCACAGAGACAGGGATATCCCTAGAGACAGTCTGAACGCGACAGCAAACGGGGGAGAGGGCAACAGAAAAATTAGTCGTTGAAATTCGACCGCAACATGTCACGTCACGCGGTCGGTCTCTTCTCGCTTGCTTTCTTCCCGCCGCGCCGTTTCCTTCCGCCCCCCTACCGCCCCGTTGATTGGTGCCGTATCTAGACTATTTTTGGGCCCGCTGTCTCCTCGTTTGATGGCTCGTTGTCGGCTGGCCTCCTCCTTGCCCTTGTGCCAAGAGGCCATGAACCTCTCAGCTCCCTGTAGCACCCCCGCGTGCCACGGTACCCCCCCCTCCACCTTCGCCGCCTCACTCCAGACTAACTTCGGGACTCCGAAGACGCTCGGCTTGTCGGTCGTGGAGCCGTACCTGGCTTCGAACATCTTCATGTCGTCCTTCAGGCATGTCAGCCAGTTCTGCTCCGGGTTTCCCTGGCCCGGGTCCTCCCCTCCCACCAACTCGCCGAACATCAGCCGTTTCGGAAGCCGCCCGTCCGGCTGTCTTGCCACGGCCCCCGCAAAGAGCAGGCGCCGTTGACGGACAGTGGCCTCCACGCTCTGGCAGCCGACCCTCTTTAGCGCCTGGGCGTATGACAGCTGCCGGTAGGTGCCTCGTTTGCGCCGGTAGCCGATGACTCGCAGGAGTAGCCGGTGGTGTGTCGTCTGCAGCATTCCGTAGTGGTTGCGGCGTGGGGACCATGTCATGCAGCCGTATAATGTGGAACTATAAAATTCGGTCCGGGGGGTGTCAGGTATCCATCGATACCCTTTGCTGTCGTCCTTTGGAAATCGATTTCAATGTTTCGTTTGTGTACCCCATCCGGTCCAAATGAGGATATGAGGTACGTACTCTGTCTGCCACCTCAGAGGTTACACCGATCCAGATCCAATGGCCCACTGGCTCTTTGAACATCCACGAACACTTGTACCGCGCGCACACGTTTGTGTTGCTCTCCACACCCTGCTGTGCGCAAGAATCACTCGCTACGACTGCCTGCTGTGGTCGCCGAGACACGTCAGAGAGCTTTGGCCCACGGGAGAGAGTGAGACAGACAGACAGAGAGAGAGAGAGAGATAGGCCACGCACGCGCACGTGTCGCGGCATGAGGGACGGCATCGCCATCACCGCCGCCCTGACGGCCTTCACTGCAATTGCGTTCAACTTTGGGGCTTTCTTCCCACGAAGAAGAGCCGGAAAGAGGGTCTCCTTTTCCCCCCGAGAGGACATGATCCACGACGGCTACGGCCACCACCTGACCGAGGAGGAGAGAAGGGGCTTGAGCTACTCGCCGGCGGAGCTGCAGCAGTTCTCGAGGTCGCTCGCTGTCGACGCCTGGCTGGAGGAATGGGGAAGCTGACACGGGGTGCCATATTCCTGTTGTGCGGTATGTACCGACCACCGGCTGGCTGTGTGCCATGTGGCAGGCAGCCAGTTAGGCAGCGGCAGAACCGGTGGGGGCGGGGTTGCACGAAGCTTCTCCCACAGCTGGAGATGATTTTTGGGTTCATCGAATTGTGAGAGGCAGTCGGTGTTGGTTTGCGAGTCGGTTGCGTTAGGCCCTCAAAGGCTTGTGTGCGTTCATGTATGTGGATGATGGTGTCGGTTGACACGCTCCTGCGACGAAAGTGAGTGTGTGTGAGACTCTCGCTTGCTCTGTCCCTACCGTCCTTCTATGCGAGCACTTCTTGCTGCCAGGAGACAGGTGATGCCCTCCTCTCCGTGTCTCACCATTGTCGGGTGGCGCTGCTGATGTGTCGTGTGTGGATGCTCCCTGTTGCGCTCCGTGTACGAATGCATGATAAAATAACCTTGAAAACGAGATACTACTACTGCTGTGCGCAACGTAATAACCTCACAGAAAGACTACCCATTCGAGATATAGTCTAAACTCAATCGAAAGGGATGTTTTTAGTTTTGTGTGGAGATGATGAGCCGCCGACTTTTTTCTTTTGTTGCTGTGTGCGTCGTTCCACGTGTGTTCCTCGCATGATTCCACGCCATGCGACCGCCGTTCTCTAGTTCATCTGCCGTTATCTGAGGGGGAGGGGGGGTCAGCCAAAGATTGTAGAGAGTCCTGTGTGCTCTGTGCTCAAGTGCAGCAGCTCTGGGTGCCCAACGAATCTAACATTCTTTGCAGACGGCTTCGACGCGCGGTGGTGTTGTGTATATTGCTGCCGCCGCTGCTGGGGTTGCCTCTTATTTTTGATGCGTCGCGTTGTGTAGGCATTCCGTTTGTGTTCATGCACCATTTTTGTTCTATTCGTAGCATATGACAGTTTTACGAGAGGGGACTGCTGCATTTAGGAATAATCCTGCTGCATGTTGGAGGACAGCATACTTCGTGTGTTTCTTCGTGTACCGTAAGGTAGTTTTTTACTGTCTGTGTGTGGGAGATTATTAGCAACGAAATATCTCACACTACCCTCCAGAAGTAGACTTTTCCAACAGATTGGAGAGTATCACGTAATAGGTGCGTTCGGGCGTGAAAATGTGATGAGGACATGTTTTTTCACGGCTGCCCTGTCTTGGGCACGCTCCTGTGACTACAGATGTCTATGCTGTGACTACAGATGTCCACGCCTTAGGGTCGCCTGAGGGATGTGAAACTCCTTGCATCCGTTTCTCTCTGCCTTCCATTTCTCAGCCGAGTGTGTTCCCTTCGAAATCATTTCCATGCAATAGTAGTTAGCTTTGTCGTGCGTGCTGTTGAATTAATAGTGGCGGTGGCTGGACCTGGTGTGAACTTTGCGGTGTTTCTGTGGTAAATGGATGGATTACCACTGCTGTTGCGGTGCTGCTGCGGCGACTAACAGAAAAATAAAACTAGGTATTTTCGTGCTTTGCAGTTGGCAACAGCAGTATTATAGTAGATATTTTCTTCCGGCTGGCCGGCAATGGATGGATTGTCGGAAGACAGCGTGTCGATTAGAGGGCAGAGGGCAATGAAGGAGACAAATCGGATGCGTTTAAAAGGCCCGACCATTTTCGTAGAGGAGGGGGTAGAGCAAAATACGGTAACGGGTGTTCAGCTTAGGTTTAGTTTCGTCGTGCGATGGCGAGTGATTATGGGAGACGAGCCCACGCACTAACTTGCAAGGGGTGGTGGGTGGTATTTGGTGGCAGCGTCGTGCGTCGTTTGTTTTTCATCTTTCTACAAGGCCTTTTCAACCGTTCTAGAAGATGTTAGATAGGAAGCGTGTGTAGATTCACCGGCACATGCGTACCATCAGCATCATTAACTTGCGTGAAATAGACTGAGAAGAAGGCGGATGCTCGAGCCTTTGGGATACCGTCGAGTGCGATATACTGTAGTGTGGTGCAACGACATCACATCGATCGCAATCAATCTCGAATTATTTTATGTTACAGGTAGCGGTAGACAGGAGAGAGAGAGAGAGAAGGGGAGGGTGTGAAAGAGGTTGGGATGAAAGGGAGGGTCCAGGAGGCAAGTTGGACGTCTCCCGTGATTGGTTGGTAAGAACGAAGAGGATGAATAATATAATACATGGATTCTTTCACTGGGTCACCTGGTGGATTGCAACGAAGTACCGTATTTTTTTTCGAATCACCGGCTCCCTCCTCGCGGGGAGAGGAAGCGATTCCCTCATGAGGGCTGTCTATCTGACCAATGTGGCGCACCCGTACCTCCTTCATGGGGGTGCCGTGTTTATCACGGGGGGGGGCGTGGTGTGCCCGCACCTCCGCACAGGGGTGCCGTATGTATCCCGGGGGGTTCAAGGGTGTGCATCCCCGCGGGCGTTGTATTGTTCTTTTTTGGTCGCTTGCGTGTGATTGGATCAATTGTGATCCACGCTGTCAGTCGCCGAGAAACACTCGACACCCGGTTCTGATGCCTCTTGATCAGACGTGTGCCACAATACACACACGCACGGCATTAGTCGGTGAAATCGCGTGCGCTTCTCTCAACCCCCCTCCCCCCCGGGCCTGTCCTCTACCCCTCTCACTCAATGTACTGCGAGCAAATTTGCCGTGTCGTTTACTCGAATGGACGGTTCGGGTGTCTTTGCCCACGGCGCGAACGCCCACCGAGTTGGGTTCGCTGGCGAATTCGCGTTTTTTTTTTGTTTATGTTCTGAGCGCCACAGTCTACACCCCTCGATTCACGTTTGACTCACCAGCTAGGAATTCTCCACCACTCTGCCTTTGACCTCCTGGGGTGCGTTTCCGGTTGGTTTTTCCGCGCAATTCCACGTCTGGTCTTTTTGTGCCGACCCCGGAAGTCATGACATGACTCGTTTTCGCTCCACCCTCACCTTTGCTGAAATCCCTGTTGGTCCTAAATGCTTCGACGTACATGGCATCTTGTCGACTATTGGCGATAACCCAGGATGAGCAAGTGTAGCCGCCTCAATACCGCATGACCCTGGTATTCTCGCACTCAAGTATTGACACAAATCGGTACACCTACTCTGTAGTTTAGACGTTTTGTTTTCTTCTCGTCATCCCATTCGTCCAGAAATGTCACTTTCTAGTTTCGACGTTTCGGGGATTTTTTTTTCGTACCACCAGCCGAATCCACACAGAAGGAAAGTTCGCATCGGAGTTGTCTTACTCACGTATTATTTCGGGAAGCATGTACATATCTTGAGTATCATGGGCTTCGCCATGAACTTTGCCTGGAACCACGGTGGGAGGTCACTACGCGCACAATAAGCTAGGCGCGCACCGCTAGCTGTGGGTGGCTCGTTTGAGTTTCGGCTGTTCGCCATTAACGTTGCCTGGAAACACGGTGGGAGGTTACTACGCGCACAATAAGCTAGGCGCGCACCGCTAGCTGTGGGTAACTCGTTTGAGTTTCGGCACGGTCCTATGGTCATGAAAAGTACGCAGGCTATGATGGTGCTCGTGCGTGTCTCGAAAGACGTTGGCAATATTAGCGTGCGGTGTTGTCGACGATGACCCAGCTTGGTGGCCACCAGAAGCGGCAACGCCTGCGACGGCCCTAGCGGCGGCGGCGGCCTGGCCCGTCTCCCGCCGACGTTGTCGGGCGTTGGGAGAGTGGTTGCCGCCCGCGGATGCCGGTCTCCCTCCACGCCCCCCGCTGCCGGCAACCAGGTCGCGGGCCTGGGATATTCAAAACGCCGGAAGGGGAGGGGCGCACGAAATATAGTCTACTATGCACGCATGCATCCTCCTCAACTTTTAGTCTTTTAGTATCTGTTGTCCGGTCCACGCAAAACTAAATTTCAACATGGATTGCCAAGCCTTGCCCGTGCGGTTGTCCAGAGATAGTACTGTGCGTAAACCGTAGGTCGGTTTGTGCGCCATGCTTTTCAGTCAGGCTCGCCAGAGGTACATCGTCCTCCTGTCATTGTCCGCACACCCCTTGCGAAGCGACGGGATCACCGTCCCAACCACAGAAAACGGTGCTTTCATTCTACAGGCATGAACGAAGGATACATCGCTGCTGTGATCATCGGGAGAGGGCAAACGGGCGGGGTATACGCTCTACACGGCACTTTCATCCATCGCCGTTGTTCACCACCCTCCTCGCACGCTGCTATCTGCGCGAGACAAGCGCCGTTGTTTATTTCACAAAACACACAAGGTTGCATGTTCGGCGACTCTCAAGAAGGGTGAAAGGTATGATGCTTCATGGTAGACATCGCAGTTGGAACTTGGGCAATAGAGGGGAGGCGGGGGATACGGTGGCCTTATTTTCGAGCTCCAACCCCTGATTCTTGACAGGCGAGGATGAGGGGTGTCTGGTGCCATCCCGCCCGGTCTCCTGCAATTGCGCATGCGTTTTATCCCCCGCGGCAGTTACTCCTCTATTGACACGATCAAGATAAGACTGTACACGCCGAACCACTCTTGGCAGAAGTGTGGCTGTACACTCTATTCGTGCGTTACTGGTTATGGTGTTGCCACCATTGTCACACACCCCAAACGTTCCGCTGCTGCACGTGATGTGTCGAAAAAGCGGCTCACCTGGTGACTTCTTCGCTTCGTGGCGGCCGTATCTCTCAGAGCGGGAAGCTCGTACACCGCCGCCGCTCGCGCCGCGGCGGCCAACGGAGAATCCACCCGCGATTCTTTCTTCAGCCGTCTGTCTGGTGGCCGTCTCCCTGGTGCACTCTCCTCTTCGCCCACGCCCCCCGCAAAACCAGGCGGCACGCCGCCCCAACCGAGCAGAGGCTCCTCGCCGCCCCCGCGCGCCCACGCACTGGTGCCGCGCCCCCCCGCGTCAATTGGCAACGGGTAGGTTTGCCGGGGCTGTGGTGTTTTCGCTACGTTGTCCGTCGCAGACGTTCCTGTGGGTGGGTCGTTCGTTGGCGTCCCTTGTCTCAAAGTTGCTGGTTGCGAAGCGCCTCCGTGACTAGGGGTCCCGCTGACCCGATGAGCGTTGGGCCCCTCCCTCGAGCCTTGGGGCGCCTGAAGAGCCATGAGACAGTCGGCGGCGGGGACCTTTATCGATGCGTATGTATGCATACATGATGCAGCTAACGAGCAAGAACTGGCTGCATGAGTTGCCGAAGGCTTGTGGGTCGTCGGAATGGTTCAAGCACGGTAGCTCGAGCCGCCTCCTAACAGTGTTGTCGGCATCCATCTTCCCGAGCATGGTGTCTTGGGGTCGAGGTGAAGTCTTGTTTAACCACAGTTATTCCTGGTGGCTCCAATGCTTGGCTGCAGACACTCTCGAGCCCTGGAGGCTGCGAAGTTCATTTTGAAGACTAAAACAGCACCGCTTGTCGCAGAGGTTCGACGAAATCCACGGACGCCGAAGGAAATAGTTCAAGACTGCAAACCTCCGCAAGAAACACGCTACGCTTACTTCACGGTTCTCAAGTGAGCACGAAAAGTAAGTCTCGCCATGGTCTCACTGTAGGCCTGCATTTTGTCCTTCCCGAACATCGAGCGCAAGCCTTCGGGTGGGTTTGTCATGATATCTACGGTGGTGCGTTGTCAAGGATACAAGTTGGCACTTTCTGTCCTCTCACATTCCCGGGGACATCTCTTTCCGGGATAGGTACACTGCAGTAGTAGAGGGGGGGTGGTTGCTTTTTGCGATGCTCGGCGCCTCGAGGGGAAGCTCAAGACTGCTTTCGCGGGCACGGAGAAGGGCCTGTCAGGGTAGTAGTACTGTACCACGCCGACCGTTAAAGGGAGCCGAGGGAGAAAACACGCGTGGAGTGCGAGATCGTCCGGGCAGGGGGCGAACTCGCCCGGAAAGGCTACATCAGACGTTGCATCACCCTTCCACCGCGCTTGCTGGCGGTTGTACCGTGTTGGGACGGGGCAAAAAAAGTGCATGGTTTCTCGCGCTTGGCCCTCAAGATGCTCCGAGACTCTATGTCGCAGGGTGAACAAAGTTCTTTGGCTCCCTCGTTTCCGTGAGCAACCTCAACTACGTCGAGAACATTTTTCAGAAGCAAATCACGCCATCGACTAGGAAAAAAGGGAGAAGTATATGGAGCACGTTACCTGCATTGAAAATCTAGGGGTTTTGTTCTCGCTTCCTCCCCCGCTGCCCTCATCTCCTTCCACAGCCACGACTCCCCTAGAGCCCGATCTCCTTTTCCTCGGCGCGCCCCCGTCCCCTGTCCCCTTTTCGTGCCCCCCGTCCCCTCCACGCCGAGCCTGTCCTTCCATCTGCTCCCCAGACCCATCCGGGGTATTGCACCCCCCCGCATCATCTATTTTTTCCGCCGTCGCAGGCGTTTTCGATGACGAGCCTGAGGAGTTGTTGCAATAATCGTTTCCGCCGCTCCCGCTCTTCCTCGCCTTCGGCGGTGCTATTATCCCGTCGCCCAGAGCGGGGGAAGGGGAGGGTAACGCCTTTTTCGGAGTTTGCGCGGAGCCACTCCCCGGGGCTGTTGTGTTGGCCGTGCCCGTCGCCGAACCGTTCGGGGCCGGGGTATTGTCGGTGGTGGTGCCTGTCGCGCTTTTCTCGTCCAAGCTCATCATTGTAGAGAGGTGCTCGAGCTGGATGGATTTTTGCGGTGGGCGGTTCTCCCTCTTGCCCCTATTTCGATCTTGCCGCACTCCATTCCTCCTGTCAGCGCATTCCTTTTCAAAGGGGAAATCAGGACAAAGGTGTGGGGGGATTAGACACCTCACACTACTACCGTAGGTCTGAGTGCGAGTACTGTACCGAGTAGTCTACGTTTTATCGGGCTTGCATACAGACAAGGATCGATTCACGAGCGGCTTCACCTTCCAGAACGCTTCCGACACGATCTTGGACCGTACACGCTTCTGCAGGGTGAAGGCTGGAAGTAGCATCCCGGCATGCTGACGGCAAAATTCCCTTCGGCGCGACACCGAGAACAGCAGGCAAGGGCAGGGGTGGTGGCAAGCAGGACAGGGTATTGGAGGACGGGCAGCGGGCGTGAGCGCGGTGCCACCAAAAACATTTCGCGTCTCACGTCGCTGAACGTTTGATGGACATAGGTTGTACTATTATCATACAGGTCGGACATGAGGCTTTGAAAGATAGTTGGAAACAGACTTTCATCGCAGGTGCAATCACGGTAACAAGGTCGACCACTCGCAAAAGCAACGTGCACCTGAACGCCTCGAACGAGAGGGCGTAGATCCGACCGTCAGGGGCCACCTGAACTCCCTTCTTGGCCAACTCAAGGATCGTCGTTTCGTTAGTTGGTCCAGCGTCGCTCGACGACGAGAGCTCTAGACGTGACGGTTGCGTTGAGGGGGCAACGCGAGGAGGCGGGGCGAGAGAGAGGGGCACAGAAGGACGAGAGAAAATTGTCATCGGTGGCTCAAAGATTCGCTCTTCAGCGGCACGATGGGCACCGTGATCGAAGCTTCTGCAGCCAGAACTATTGGCTAAACTTGTAAACGCCGACGATGCGTTCATAACGTCGGTCCTAAGCTGGGCGTGGCGCTCAATCTTCTTGGTACGTACGTGTCGCGCCGGTATGTTGCTCTGCTGACAGATCTTCAACACCACACGCAACCACGGCTGTGGATTCATACGCCCAAGCCTCAAGCTCTTCACACCGCGGCCCGAAGACAGGCGTAACCCGCGGCTCACCTTTAACTCGCTTCAGCGTCAAGGCCGCGGCAGGGCTATCGGCAAAACGTTCCCCGTAGACTTCCCGGAGCATAGCCTCCATCTCGGCCGTCTGCACCACGAGAATCGCGCACGAATCACCGTTTTTGAGATCTACCACGAGCAGCAGCTTCGATCATCCAACGGAGATCTTGGGTGGGGATCGCAATCGATCATGTTGAAGCGCGCATCCACTTGATACTCTCCGCCACCCAATCTGATGGGGATCGTATGCGTGCTTAGGCACTCAAACCACTTGGCATCCACTGGCACCCACCTCGATTGCACCGCTGTGGTCTCGGTCAAAGAGGTCGAAAGCGAAGCGTACAAGAGAATCGTGGTTCTGCAACAATGGGGGCGAACGGAAGGGGGGACAGGGTTGTCTAGTAAACGTCACCAAGCTTGCATCTGCCATGTTGGGGTGAGATCTCTAGAAGACGTGTGTGCATGGTGCACCCGCCGCCGACACATTCGACATGAAGACACGGTTGCAGCGTTTAGCCCCACATGCGGCAGCGAGCCATGCTCTTCCATGGTCGACCGTACTTGAGGGATTACCCCTGCATGTCGCAACCGGGGGAGGGGTTGGAAGGAGTCGTACAGTTTTGTGCGTACCATGGTGCAGCAGTTCCATGTCGATACCACGAATTCTCGGAAGTCCACGGCCCCGGAATTGTCCACATCGAATATGCTGTTACATGGCATCATTTATTACGTCGCACGAGCGCATGGGAAGGAGGACAGGCGAGGGGTCATTAAGAAAATATATTGATGTATCTGACCGCTCATGTACGATATGCATTGTGTCTGCGGAGGAGTGATGACCGAAAAAGGTTGTCTGTTACCGAAGATAGATGTGATGATGGAACTGATATGCACAGTGGCTGGGGAAAAAACTGCTACATAGTCCTTTGGCGAGCGAGTGGCGCCGGGGTCACCCGGGAAAGATAAATACTGCGCGGGATATGAATACAATAAGCTGTTCAGTGTTCCCAACACTAGCGGAAATGCCGACCCTACTCGGGAAGAGTCGAGACCCGTCTGGATCACTCTTTGCCACACCCAGTCGATGATGAGGCGAGAACTTGACACATAGCCCAGCCTGTACATTGGATAATTCTTCCACATACTGGGTTCGAGTGTTTTTGTGGGTAGGAACCATGAAGATGAATGAATCTCACCCGAAGAGGCGGTATGCGAAGGGCGTGAAGTCGAGGTCGCAATGAGAGAGCAGCTCTCGTATGCTCACCTGGTCAAGGCGTGTGGATACGAGGGTGTGTTCGACAGTCGTTGGTAGTTGTGATAAAACGCCGTGACGACGACACATGAACAGCATGCCCTCTTGAAACCAGGCATCAGTTTGAGATCGAGAGTGTGAAAAATGCTATTTAGAGTTGCCAACGGGAACTCACGGCCTGTTCATCAACACTGTTCCACGAGCGCTATCGGTACATTTAGAATACAATGTATGAGGGTCATACGGAAGTACATGGCTTGAGCAAAATTATACCCCCGGGACTTGCTAGTGTACGTAGATTCTCGCCGTACACATGTGCATGTTGTGCATCCCCTTTCCTATGTGCGTGCGGTGCAAACAGCTCGGAGATGTATCACACGGAGTGTTGTCTAAGCCATGCTGCTACCTCTTGGCACAGAGAGGAAGTAGATGCACCCCGCGCACGAAAAGCATGTCCTTGATCAACTACGAGCTATTACTGTATTTGATGTCGGCGTATGTATGTATCGGTATCCAATCACGGGGTTCACGAGAGAATCCACAGCACGTGTGGCACCACACCCTCACATCTCCACCGGACTGTTTACACGCAGAAATACTTCCTGACATTTTTTTCCGGCGCAAATGCAATACGTACCGTCCCGCCGTTGTCTGTATCGATCTTTCCGAACTCGATCCAGAGCTTCTTCAGCTCTTTTTGCTCCAGGTCCAGCGAGGCAAACATTTGGCGATATCCTCTGATCCCACGCTTAAAGTTGGCCTTGTTGAAAGAAGATTGATGATGTCCCATTTGCTCCAACTCCGGAGAGAGTCACCTCCCACGCGTGTTCACGGCACGTACGCGTCGCCGGCGACACAACACGACTGGCCACAGCAGTCACAGTGGGCTGTCGGCGACCCGTCGTCTGCGACACAACCAACAGGAACTGCAATTCATCACGCCCGCAAAGCCATGCCGCTGTCTGTACACACCATCGACCAAGGCGTTGAATGTTGAAGGACGGGTGCAGCTGTAGAGGTGCTGCGGTCGAACAGTTCACGGTTTTATCGAAGCGGCAACAGTTGTGCCGCCTGTTGCTTACGATGCACGATTGATACACGATCCCTTGCTTCTTCCCTGCACATCGGTTTTCGTAGTTTTAGCCAGAACGATATAACGGCAGAGCATAACCCACCGACAAATTTGTGGATCATCTGATGACCGCAGGAAGGGGTGGAAATGGTGGGCTGTTGGCCGCGTGTCTCTACACAGCAGTAGTGGTATTTTTCCGGCCCCCAGCCCAGGCACAATTGATTAATATCTCCACTATGCAGACGATTCACACAGCAAACTATATATCATGTGCTATGAACGAGAGCTTTCGAATGAACACACTTTTGGCTGCGGCAAAAAAGATGGGCACGAGCTACGCTGGGTTGGCCGTTTTCATAGAATCGGCGAGAAATAGGAAAAACGCGCAATCGACGACGAAGTCGTTTTTTGCCGCAAAAAAAAAGTTCCATTTTTGGAATCCCCGCAAAAAATGGGTTCTGAAAACGTTTGGTTGGAACCTCCGAGCGTCTGCATAGCAGAGAAAATTTTCAAATTTCTCAGGGCGTGCAGGGTACGCTTTTGCCACAGATCTTGGGCGGGACCATGGACCCCGATACAGATGCGCTGCTGCATGTGAAGGGAACTCTGCCTGCTGAGTACGAGCTCGGAGAACTCGAGGTGCACAGAGGGGCTCCACGAAAGTACCGCATTGGTCTGAAAGCAAGACACAGCAGCCAGGCCGGCCAGCCGTTACTTCAGTGGCACAGCCGGACGTTCACCACGAAGAGTGCACGTCGCAGAGACAGAGCCGCCGAGTCTCAAGCATGCAGAACCATCACAGCGCAAACATGGTTAGACCTTGCAGCAAAGACCATCCAGCATGAAGCGATCCAGCAACCACCCTCCCGGGTTACAACGGGTGTCAGACTTGCAGCTCCCGCACCTGGTTCTCTTCAAGAACCTGGTGTTGGAGGCGCCGAAAGGTTGCGAGAAGGGTGCGGCGACGCCAGAGAGGGCGCCGGGAGGAAGAAAGGAAGCCTAGGAAAGAGGGCCCGGCGAGAAGAAGGACCTCAGCATGAGCATGGAGCATGTTCTGGGAGAGCAGCGAGACTTCAAGGAAGTTGACTCTAGTCTGGTGCTGTTGATGCGGCGGCACGGGGGAGTCTGCGTGATGCTCCCCAAGTACCACTGCGAGTGCAACCCCATCGAGCTCGTTTGGGGCTGTGCGAAGGACTGGACGCGCCAGAACTGCACATATTCGATGGAATGCTTGCGCAAAAACGTGCCGTTGAGCTTTAGACCGGAGAAGGATAGACAGGCCATTGCGGTAGTCCAGGCTTTCTGCAAGAAGGCTTACACGCATGCCCTCGTGTACCTGAAGGCACGTGCACTTGGACCCACGGGCAAGGAGATCTACAAGAAATTCAAGTCCCACAGGCGCCCGACGCCGAACACGTGGAGGAAGTAGAGAGGCATGCGTTTGTATTCCTTGTGCTGTCCAGCACTGACTTTTTTCCCCCAGTTTTCGCCACATTTTCTCAGTTTTTTTACCTTTTTTTTTTTTGTGTGTGTGAATACACGTATTTCGTGCGGTTGCTCGTTGCCAAAAGTTGCTGTAGGGTGATACAGTACAGTAGGTGAAGGGTACCTGCGTTTGTGCGGTGTTTGGGGGTGTTTTACTCGACGTGACGCATGTTTGCAACCAAAAACAAGAAAAAGAAAAAAAAAATCGACGCAAAAAAAAACAAAAATGGTGCAAAATGACCCAGGACGGGGGTTCGAGCCCCGGCGAAAGGCATCATTTTCCCTTTTTTTTTTTCCGACTCGCTACTCTTGATGCGCCTCTTCGCGGACGTTAATAACATGTTTTTATTTTATTTTTTTTCTCCACTTCAGTCAAAAGTTATGGAGGGACAACGAAATTCGGCCTCAGGAAAAATACCACTGTAACGATCATTCACGTGGTCACCGTGTGTTGTCTTTGTGTGCTAGAAGTACAACTTACTCCGATGCCTACACCTGACGCGGAATATTTCCACCTTCCCATTCTCCTCGCCGCTCTAAACTCCGCCTACATGCAATTTCGCATTTCTTTCCATCACCTGCACTCACGAACAAGCACCTTGTACATACAGGCCTGTCCGAAGAGCTTTCGAGCTTTGTGTCGGGGGGCAACCAGTGAAACTGCTGTCTGTCGAAAGAGTGAGCTCGACCCCCGACAAAATAGCAGCGAGCAGGGGCATCTATCCGTAGAGAAAGAGTCGAGAAATCGAGGCCCGCTGGCAACTTAGGTGTAGTGCACACCACCACTGGCTGGAAACCGTTTCGAGATGTACCCACGAAACACTGCCGGCGTTCTCCAAGAAGCGAACTCAAAAAAGCAGCAAGGCATACATCAGCCAGCTGTACCGTAAATGATTTCTTCAAAATTTTCTCGGTGCTCGACCCGAGCAGTCATTCATTGCTAAAAGGCCGTATCCGCGGGACTAATCTTTGTCATGCTGATTTGAAAACAACCCAGTAGGGTACATGCAGCCTGCAACCTCTAGGACCACCCACGGCCGGGCACTGTTCCAACCTCAACGCCGTTCTCGGCCGAACAGCCCACGCCACGCTTGGCCCTGGATGGCTTAATGCGTAGACCATAACACGAGCAAAAATTGATATTAGCCAAATATCGAATTTATTGAAGACTGATTTTTCACCTAGGTAACCCAGTGGCGGCGTCGTCCTCAACCCGAAGCAGGGCAACGTCCGCCCCGGCACCAACAAGGGCATCGATCCACGCCTCCTGCGCGCAGCTGAGACTATCCCCGGGCCCCTTGACCTCAACCCACTTGCAACGCGCGTCTCTGTTGGGCAGCACTTCAATGTCCGCTGTCGAAGCCATTCGGTCCCCACCATTTTTCTTGTCATTATTCAAGGAGACCGTTGCACGCGAACCCGCAGGGTCAGGGTCCGCCACAAAATCGCTCGCGTCTTGGTCGGACGAACCCGCCATGGGGCAGCTGCTTGTTGCGGCGGTGGCGGCCTGTTCGGCAGCGGCGTTTTCGCGCCAGAGGAGCAGGTCCGGCAAGCCGTGCCGCCACGCCCAGTAGTTAGAAGCCAGGTTTCTGTAACGGGAGGCCGAAATGGCAGCATTCGCAAAAACAAACGGCACCGATAGACACGGGAAATTAACGTGAAACGGACAGATACATAACAACGAGCACGCGTGGGCACCATGGGGAACAACAAAAAATCGCAAACTTCGACTTCGCTCAAGGAGGGCATGGGCAACCCATGGCGACAAACACACGATTCCTTTTCTTCCTCTTTCTCGCGTGACCTGACACAAGCACGCGTACAGCTCTTTGCGAGGGGGCGCAATGTCGCCGTAGCTTATACGTTTTGTAAGAAGTCATACCCCCCTTGGCCGACGATTCAAAGATCGACTACTCTGGAGGTACGACAGTGACGGCGTCGAAAATGGAGGCGCTGGAACCGTCTCGTTGAGACCATGCGAAACCACACCACGAAATATCGGAATCAATCCTGTTCGTCGTGAAGTAATCGGGCTTCGAACCATCGGTCAAGGATGCGTGTGTGATCTTGTGCACCCCAACGAAACCATATGCAGTTTCGTGGCGCCGAGGGTGGTCCGCAACTTTCCCTACGCTTTCGACAGTAGAACTAGGGAGGCGGCACACATAGCAAACAGTGCAAAAAACAGCCGTCGGAAAGGCAAGGGAAAATTCAGCGGAACAAGCCCCTTACAGAGCAAGCGGGGGGGGGGGGGGG